AGTCATCGCCATCCTCGATGGGCAATGTTAGCTGACATGCGGTCATGTTGGAGAAGAGTCAGTGGTGGTCAAACCAAAATATAGCTTCATCAGTCAATGAAATCCACAACAGTTAGTTTAAGCCACGTAGGGAAGTGTAGACTCTCGGGCTGGTTGGTATCCTCGGGACGGTAAAATTCAGTGGTTGGAAACAATTGGTGAGATGGCTCAAAATCGTTCTCAATGGCTGGTGCAGATGCATCCGCTCCCTGTGACTTATGATTTCCAATGAAACTATATTGTCCTTCGTTATTACTATTCCTTTGTCTCACACCTGTGTTTACTGTCTCTATTATGCATTTCTTCTACTTCTTCTGTGGCTTTGTGTGCTACAAGGAGGGAGTGTGGCAACTTGAACTGCCGCACATCGGTGCAAAGTTCTATGACGAAAACGGACAGAACAGATAGGATTCATATTCTTTGTGAGGAAATAAGACTGACCACTTAGGTCTAGAAATACCAACCGGAAATGACAAATATAAGAGAATAGTTACTTCATGTTGTTGATTTAAGTTGGTGATTGTCAACTGGGTTTCAAACACTGTAGAAATTTCGTTTCTTGACTATCATTAGCACAAAAGTTGATATTTTGAGGAACGGAAAAGGACTTAGTATGTTGTATAAATGCCGATAGGAGAGGATATCCGTCTGAAGCTAAATATTTCTATGGAGAGAGTTATACCTTTCCAACAATAATGTTTTCGAAAGCTGTCCAGTATTATTAGTGATTGACAGAAACGGAATCAGGTATTAACATTACATTTAGAAAAATCTAAGGTGTTCCTAAAATTTGAGAGATTTTATATAATAACTTCGAAATAGATGATTCAGTGCCTTTACCACGTCAGTCCATATATTGATTGATACTAAATTGTCTACATGTTACTGGTATTACGCATGTCGAGCCAGCACATTCCTTGACGAGAAATATTAGCTGACACAGGGTTAGGTTGGGATGGGCAAACCAGAACCTGGTACTAGTCCATGGAGTCTTTCATAGTCGGTCTGATCTACACATAAGGAGTCTTGGGGTTGGTAAGAACCAATGGCTCCGGAGACCATTGATGATATGGCTCAGAATAGTTCTCAATGTAACATAGTCCACAAATTTGTGCATAAGTGCTTTCCCATGCATTTGAAATCTCACGTGAACAAATCCAATATGCTGTTTACAAAATGTAGCTCACATTTCAATGTGACTTCAATGCATCATTTCAGAACTTAGATGTACAAAATGATAATTGATTTGAGAATCAGCTGACTAGATTTATATATGTCACTTCAATTACCAAGATTTAAGCAATAATTGATGTGCTCATCCTTCAAATAATATTTCTGCTTTGTACTCTGATGCATAGATTACGGTGATTACATATTGCTCTACACCAGTTGCGCATAACTTAAAAAAATCTCCACACCCAACCACACTCAGTATAACACCCAAAATCAGTCTGTTGAAATGATAGCTGAGTTGGTAATTTCTTTGGAATCAGTGACATTGATAATTGATGATAATTGTAACTATAACCCAATTCCTCTTTACTACTTGTTCTATGTGTGAGAAAAAAGAAACAATCGCTTGATTGAACCACATTAAGTTTGATAATGTTATTACTTATCGTTACTTTACTTTACTTTACTTCGGCTGTCTCCTACGGGAGGATGAGCCGGCTTCATGAACGTCTTGAATCATCGCTGCCCAGGCGCGGCAATTTGTAAGAGAGTTCATGAAGTTTCATGGGAATTTGGTACGAGTGATGTCCCCAGAATCACTCGGCCTTTTGTTTGAGAGTGCAGCTCTAGCCTTTACACAACCAAGTGTGACCTACAAGGCAGTAGGAGTGGAGTAGGGGGTCCACTAACCATTGGCAGCCGGTGACCGGAGTTCGGTTCATACGCCTTTTTGAATGGGGCCAGACATCCAGGACATCCAACAAGCCCTTTGTCCATACGTCTGCCGGTGAGCTCCAGTGAGCTTCATACGCCAGTCGTTGGAGGTTTGGAATCAGGGTTTAGCCATCTCCCCTAGACTGTCATCCAATGGACAGTCAACCCGGTGGAGAGCGCCGGGCATCCGCTTTCGCCCTCTCACTTTGGTGAGAAACACCTCCGCCACGTGAAGGCAGTGAGTAGGACTTCCTCAGGAGAGACTATGTAAGACGCCCGGTCATATGGGAGCATTTCAAGAGGTGTGCGGAGGGGTGGCCAACCCTCAGCGCAAGGCACCCACCCCCGACCATCCTGAGGCTTACCGTACATGTTACAAAATCATTGTGATTAAAATAACTAAGGCGTGTGTTGATTATTGATAAGCTAAGCATTACATACACATTTATACAATTGATTAAGTAGTTAATTGTCCTTAGTTGAAAAGAGTGTAAGTGTAATGTAAGGGCGTTACTGATAGTGGTGGCCGAACTGTTAGGAGTTTTATTCTCTTACTCAAATTTTATTTTTATTTTTTTCCTTTACGTCCCCCAGTGGAACATAGAGCTTCAAGCTAGTGGCTTCAAGTTTCTGTAGCAATGTTTAATTTTACACGATGGGGTTGCTAGCCTCGTGCCCAACCTTTCCTCTTTACCAGCATTATTTATGGCTTATTGAGGTAAAGGAGTGCATCCGTGGCCGGGGATCGAACCCCGGACCATGTATGTGCATGGTCGGCGAGCGTCCTAACCGCTGTGCCACCGACGCACCTTACTCAAATATGTTCTGTGTAATTGCTACTCAGACTTTTAAATAATAGATTCTCCATTAGTCAGCAGTTTAGCTTCGCATTTGTTCACGCGCATATTTGATTTATGTAGATGCCACAATAGGTCTTCTTTCGAAAGTGTATCAGCTGAAATAAATAGCAGTAGACGACAAAGTGGAAAAAGTTGAAAATAGTAGGTTTTCATCTCGTAGCATTGACTTCTAACTGACAAAGAATGACAAACTAGCAGTCCATGACTATCAGTGATTCTCTATCTGACGTTCTATAATGGGATTCTATCCAGAAAGAATTGATGAAATCCTAAGATCTATTTACTTGGATATGCAAATTCCTTCATATATTCAATTATAGATAGAGCATATGACTTGTTCAGCATTGAAATTGACCAACGTACATGAGATTGTTACAGATTTTAGTGGGAAACAAATTAACCTTTCACTCATATGCTATTATGGACAAGCAACATGATTGCGTGCAATAACGTTGGGATTGAAATACGATAAGTTTGGGATGCTGACACTGGACACACACAATGAACATGAATACCGCTCGACTACTCCAATAACATTATGCGATAACCACCTGTTTCCCTTACCCCTCTCTGCTTTAACCAGAACATACAACGGCGTGACTTCCCCGGGGGGGGGGTCGCGGGTCCCCCCCACCCTTAACCTATCGTTAACCTCTTGGACCCCTCGGGGGGGTTTTTTCAGGAGGGAAAGGCCGCTCTTCCGTTTCTGATGGGGATGGCTAAACCCTGATTCCAAACCTTCAACGACTGGCGTATGAAGCTCACCAGCAGACGTATGGACAAAGGGCTTATTGGATGCCCTGGATGTCTGGCCCCATTCAAAAAGGCGTATGAACCGGACTCCGGTCACCGGCTGCCAATGGATAAGTGGACTCCCTACTCCACTCCTACTGCCTTGTAGGTCACACTTGGTTGTGTAAAGGCTAGAGCTGTACTCTCAAACAAAAGGCCGAGCGATGATGGGGACATCACTCGTACCCAATTCCCATGAAACTTCATCAACTCTCTTACAAACATTCGAGATGTTCATGAAGCCGGTTCATCCTCCCGTAGGAGATAGCCGAAGTAAAGTAAGTAAGTGACTTAGAAGCTATATTTATCCTTTTAAGAAAGTAAGAAGTCAATCAATCCAAAGAAACAGTGGTATATATCGATTTATATGTGGCTGATGGCGTTGCAAGAATGAAGATAGCTAGTAAGGATATTTCCTGGCCAAGGACATAGACATGAGTGAAAGTATCCAGACTACCTTGATCCATTCTCAACATAAGCATATGACATACACATATGACTACACATTAAATGAGTAGTAACCGCTTTTCTATTCTAGATAAAGCAAAAATGTAGTATCATACTGTGTTGTTCTGAATTGAAATAAGCATCTGTTGGCTGATATTTCGTGGTGGGTAGTAAAATATATTTTTGTCCATGTAATTTACGAAATTCGGGGTGGGGTGGGAGGGAGTCATTTAGTTCTGTTTGAAATTCACCGACTGTTTTTTGAATTCTTATTCGTCGTTAGAATGGAACGCGCAAATCCTTGTCTTCTGTTGTTGCTTCTAATAAGCTTGCTGAACAAGTATCATTCAAAATTTCAAGTAATGAGGGAAGCTGGGTAAAACATAAAGATTTTCTCATACCTATACTTAAAAGGTGGTTGCACTTGAAACATTTATCAAATATTATTTTTCAAGTGTTGGTTGGTAGGGATTTAACTGGTTATGGGTTCGACCACGAGTTTGACATCAGTTGTCGAACCATTGGGAAACCAAGAAGTACAGAATAGCCATTTCGTATCCGCTCAGGACCCTTCATCAGTGCAGACTTACTGGAGTTCGAACCCAATTTTGGCAGAGGTTGCAATCCATGGGCCATTGAATCGGGTCTCAGTGTCTGAATGGCTTATGAGCTCTTCTTCTAATCGGAAGGGCATGGATTCGAGAGTCGGTGGGTATGTACTGCAGAAGAATCCCAAACTAGGACGGAAGAGACGTCCAGTGTTTTTCAGTGGTTCTCTAGCTCACGTCAGCTCGTGATCAGATATTATTATATCGCTGTATTAGATACCATGTTGCTTAGATGTAAATTTGAGATATCTACTGTCTTGGGTAACATGTCTTTTATTATTGTACTGGTTGGAGCCTTCATGTAATTATATTTGTGGTGCTTAATTGAAATAATTTACTTCGATGAATACATCTTCTTTCTTTACAGCCCCTGAAGGCACCTATCCAAATGGCATTCGATCAGTATTCTCTGAACTTATTGCAAGAGAAGGATTTTTCGCTCTCTACCGAGGAGTCACTCCTGTTATGCTTCGTGCATTTCCTGCAAATGCGGTAAGCTTATTCATTTTTGCTTTATTTTTGATCATTTCCCACTAACCTTATAAATTACACACCATGAATATCCTCTTAGTAGTAAATATCCTTCATTGTTTAGCACGATAATGGCAACTTTGCATGCACAGTTATGCTGCTTTGTCTCCCTGTTATGTGTAGAAGAGGATATTATAATGTTTTAGTATTTCGTAAATGGTTCCCTGTTCTCTGCCACTTTTACGAATAGACAGTAGGGCATTGTGACTTTATTTATAACTACCAATGTTCTCTTAGCTTTGGGGTGGTGTTACACTTCATGGTGAGGATCAAAGCAGTCGCGAAGTGTTTTTTTGACTGCATAGTGTAGCAAACGCCAAAACAGACTTTCCAGCTGTATAAAAATATTGATAATACACCTTTAACGTCGGTGGTATGGCGGTTAGGATGCTCGCCGACCATGCACATGGTCCGGGGTTCGATCCCCGGCCACAGACTCACTCCTTTACCTCGCTGAGCCATAAATAATGCTGGTAAAGAGGAAAGGTTGGGCATGAGGCTAGCAATATCATCCTGTAAAAATAAACACTGCTACAGAAACTTGAAGCCACTAGCTTGAAGCTCTATGTTCCACCTGGGGAACGTGAAAGAGAAAAAACACCTTTAACACAGCCAAATATTATGTCTCTTATGAATACAGCATTCTTCTTAATTTGTAATGCAAAATCAAGTAGTAATTGACCGCCTTGAACTATATACTACTAATGACTTGAGATGAGGAGTTATATACCCATCATATCAACCAGTAGTGCCTGCAGTCAGATCGTTCGGGTCGAACTCCTCATCAGTGTACCAAGTCTGGCTGGGCTCAGAGAGTCTAATCAGTTCAAACCGCCCAAGCTCTGCCAAGTTACTTGAGCGAATTGGTAATACCAGAGACAAAATTGTCAATTTACACTGTTACGAAGGTGATTGAGTCTTAGAACGATGAGTGATGCTTGAATCTTGAAAAGACGAATGAACCAAGAATTTAGGCTTTATTCATTTTACAATGAAGCCGGAATGGCTTAAACATATAAAGGAAAAAAAGAGTGTTAATAGCGGTAGAGATATGAATATGACTAGATACGTATTATAAGAAAAGTTCACAACATTCACTGCGGCTTGAAAAGGAATGAGCCATTATGTCACGCTTCTCTGGTACGCAAATTGTAAGGCCGTACACGTTGTTGTTTTTCCAAAAGAATACGCCCGTTGTTCGTTTCAGTTGTATTTTCTTCACGAAGAATATTAGGATCAGTGGTCGCATCCCCATTTACTTGTTGCTCAGGAATTGCGTCGCCCTCCGGTATTGAATTTTCAACTTGATCTATATCTTCGCCTTTGGGTGCCAGATGATGAAGAGCAACTGTATCTTCACGTCCATTACCGAAGCGAACGTGAGCGAATTGCGGGTTACAATTCAATAGCTCCACCTCTTCAACCAGGGGATCGAATTTGGACTGACGAACACTCCGCCGGAGAAGTACTGGTCCTGGCACAGTGAGCCAAGTAGGAAGAGTTGTCCCAGATGTCGATCTTCGGTTATAGGTAAACAGTCGTTCGTGTGGCGTGGCGTTCGTTGCAGTACAGAGCAAAGATCTGATGGAATGCAAGGCGTCGAGTAGAACAGACTCCCATTGTGCCGTTGGTAGGCCCCGTGATCTTAATGCTAGAGTGATGGCACGCCAAAGTGTTCCATTGAGGCGCTCGACCTGCCCATTGGCTTGAGGATTGTATGAGGTAGTACGACTGGTTGCTACGCCTTTCTCCAGAAGAAATGCCCGTAATTCGGTAGACATGAAAGCAGCGCCTCTGTCGGTATGTATGTAAGAAGGCATACCGAAAATCGAAAACAGTTGGCAAAGGCAATTCATTACCGTTTGAGACGACATGTCGGGGCAGGCGAATGCAAAGGGGAATCGAGAATATTCATCGATCAGCGTGAGCAGATAGTGATTGCGGCTAGCTGACGGTAGAGGTCCTTTAAAGTCGATGCTTAACCTTTCAAAAGGTTGGGTTGCTTTTATGAGTTTGAAATTAGAGGGATTGTAAAATTGAGGCTTTAACTCACAGCATGTCACGCATTTACTGGTTACATTGCGCACCTCGTCAAGGGAGAATGGAAGGTTTCTCGAGCGTACAAAATGCATCATTCGGACAACTCCAGGATGGCACATAGAGTCATGGAGAAATTTCAAGTCGCACACTGACTGCAAGGAACCGCAGAAACTACGGGAAAATGTATCAGCAGCTTGATTATCCCTTCCAGGACGATAAATGATGTCATATTGATAAGGGGATAGCTCAATTCTCCAACGCATTATTTTATCGTTCTTGATTTTGCCTTTATGAATCTTGTCAAACATGAATGCTACTGAACGTTGATCAGTGACAAGTTTGAAGTGATTTCCGAGAAGGTAATGCTTCCACTTACGAATTGCTTCAACCACGGCATAGGCTTCTTTCTCAACCGATGAATGATGTTTCTCACTTCGAGAGAGGCTTCGAGAAAAGAAGGCGACAGGTTTACCATTCTGGTTTAATGTAGCTGCAATTGAGACATCTGAAGCATCTGTTTCAACAACAAGGGGTGCTTTCGGATCAACTACCACAACGACTGCACGTTCTAAGTCGTCTTTCAGTTTGTCAAAAGCATTTCGAGTTTCGATATCAAGAGGGAAAATCCGATTATTTACCAATGGGTGGATTTTATCTGAGAAGCGAGGGATCCACTGTGAATAATAAGCAAATAATCCAACGGCCCGTTGTTGAGATTTGATATCTGTGGGTGGTTCTAGATCACGAAGAGGTTTTAGCCGATCGGGATCTGGTTTAATAACCCCTTTTGAAACTTCATAACCGAGTAATTGTATGCTTCTGCTTGAGATCACACTTTTGGAATCATTAAGGGTTATTCCATAATTGCGTGCTGCTACCATAAACTTGTTTAGATTTTTGTCGTGTTCCTCCTGAGTTTTGCCGCAGATAGTGACATTGTCAATGTAGGCAAACGTGCTTGTGAGTTGTTCTTTACTGATCAATTCATCGATAATGCGTTGAAAACAAGCTACGCCATTGGTAACACCAAAAGGAATTCGGCAAAATTGGTAAAGTTTCCCACAAGCCTCGAAAGCAGTATATGGTTTATCTTCGTTCCTTAGGGCAATTTGATGATAAGCATTCTTCAGATCAAGAGTGCTGAATATGTCATATTGTGCGATTTTTTCTATCATTTCGTCAATCCTAGGTAATGGGTAAGCATCCAGAAAAGTGAATCGATTGATTGTCTGACTATAATCAACTACCATCCTCTTTTTATGGCGTTCGTTTGACGTAACAAGAACTTGAGCTCGCCAAGGAGAATTAGAAGGTTCAATAACACCTTCTTGCAGTAACCGGTTGACTTCGGTGGAAATAAAACTTTCATCTTCACGAGAATAACGCCGGGATTTTATCGCGATCGGTTTACAGTCTTTTGAAAGATTTTCAAACAGAGTAGGCAGGTCGACGCGAACACAAGGTAGACCACAGAGAGAAAAAGGCGGCTTTGATCCCCCAAAAGGAATCTCAATGTGTTTGTGAAGTTTTAAAAAATCATGTCCAAGAAGGACGTCTGCACATAAATTATGAAGAATGGAAAATTTGAATAGATCATAAGTGTGGTTTTTATAGCAGATGGATAGAAAACAATGTCCTTCAGTATGACTAGTAAGATTCGTACTCGCCATTGTGATTCTGTTTCGAGACTTATGGACTTTCCAGTTATACTTACGAACAACTGAGGAAGAGATGTAGCTCTCACTGCTTCCGGTATCCACTAGAGCTTGCATTGATTTCCCATTGACAGTAAGCTGCGTAACAGCATCAGTGAGACTTTGAGGTGCTGAAGCCACAACGAGAGATGAAATTATAGAGTTAACTGAAGATGGACCTTTTTTCGTAGATGGCGCAGACCTGCAAACCTTCTGAAAATGTCCTTGCTTGCCACAAGCTTTGCAAACTGCATCACGGGCGGGGCATTTGGAACGAGGATGTCTACGATTACCACAGAAAAAGCATTTGGATTCAACGGCAGCAATGGTTGTTTCATTGACGGAGGGTGTGGAATCTGATGAATGAGGTACATCATGTAAAGAAATGGACGCGCAAGGTGTAACAGGATTGTTGTATGACTGCGATTGTTGATGTGCCATCTCTAGAGCTCGTGCTTGATCGTATGCCGCTTGAAAAGTTAAAGTACGCTGTTCTAATAGCCTCTGGCGTATCATCGAAGACTGTATACCTGAGATGAATGAATCACGTAGAGATTCGTTACGATGTTCTTCGGCTGTAACTGCCCTGAATGAACAATCTGTAGTCAGCGACTTGAGTCGACGAACAAACTGATCCAGATTTTCGCCAGATTCTTGTTTACACGTTGCTAACAAGTGTCGAGCAAACACTTCGTTGCAAGGCTGCATGTAGAGACTCTTGAGAGTGTCGATAGCTTCTTCGTATGTTTTGCATTCAGAAATGCATTCGTATACAGAAGTAGAAATATGATTGAAGAGAATATGTAGTTTCGAAGGATTTTCGGATCCCATTGATTCAATGAAGTAGGAAAAAGTCGCAAACCAGTGATCCCACTTCTTGGCAGCTCCAACTGCGTTAGGTTCTACGTCGAACCGATCAGGTCGGAAAAATCGTTCCATGAATATTGTAAAATGAATAAATTGTTACGAAGGTGATTGAGTCTTAGAACGATGAGTGATGCTTGAATCTTGAAAAGACGAATGAACCAAGAATTTAGGCTTTATTCATTTTACAATGAAGCCGGAATGGCTTAAACATATAAAGGAAAAAAAGAGTGTTAATAGCGGTAGAGATATGAATATGACTAGATACGTATTATAAGAAAAGTTCACAACATTCACTGCGGCTTGAAAAGGAATGAGCCATTATGTCACGCTTCTCTGGTACGCAAATTGTAAGGCCGTACACGTTGTTGTTTTTCCAAAAGAATACGCCCGTTGTTCGTTTCAGTTGTATTTTCTTCACGAAGAATATTAGGATCAGTGGTCGCATCCCCATTTACTTGTTGCTCAGGAATTGCGTCGCCCTCCGGTATTGAATTTTCAACTTGATCTATATCTTCGCCTTTGGGTGCCAGATGATGAAGAGCAACTGTATCTTCACGTCCATTACCGAAGCGAACGTGAGCGAATTGCGGGTTACAATTCAATAGCTCCACCTCTTCAACCAGGGGATCGAATTTGGACTGACGAACACTCCGCCGGAGAAGTACTGGTCCTGGTACAGTGAGCCAAGTAGGAAGAGTTGTCCCAGATGTCGATCTTCGGTTATAGGTAAACAGTCGTTCGTGTGGCGTGGCGTTCGTTGCAGTACAGAGCAAAGATCTGATGGAATGCAAGGCGTCGAGTAGAACAGACTCCCATTGTGCCGTTGGTAGGCCCCGTGATCTTAATGCTAGAGTGATGGCACGCCAAAGTGTTCCATTGAGGCGCTCGACCTGCCCATTGGCTTGAGGATTGTATGAGGTAGTACGACTGGTTGCTACGCCTTTCTCCAGAAGAAATGCCCGTAATTCGGTAGACATGAAAGCAGCGCCTCTGTCGGTATGTATGTAAGAAGGCATACCGAAAATCGAAAACAGTTGGCAAAGGCAATTCATTACCGTTTGAGACGACATGTCGGGGCAGGCGAATGCAAAGGGGAATCGAGAATATTCATCGATCAGCGTGAGCAGATAGTGATTGCGGCTAGCTGACGGTAGAGGTCCTTTAAAGTCGATGCTTAACCTTTCAAAAGGTTGGGTTGCTTTTATGAGTTTGAAATTAGAGGGATTGTAAAATTGAGGCTTTAACTCACAGCATGTCACGCATTTACTGGTTACATTGCGCACCTCGTCAAGGGAGAATGGAAGGTTTCTCGAGCGTACAAAATGCATCATTCGGACAACTCCAGGATGGCACATAGAGTCATGGAGAAATTTCAAGTCGCACACTGACTGCAAGGAACCGCAGAAACTACGGGAAAATGTATCAGCAGCTTGATTATCCCTTCCAGGACGATAAATGATGTCATATTGATAAGGGGATAGCTCAATTCTCCAACGCATTATTTTATCGTTCTTGATTTTGCCTTTATGAATCTTGTCAAACATGAATGCTACTGAACGTTGATCAGTGACAAGTTTGAAGTGATTTCCGAGAAGGTAATGCTTCCACTTACGAATTGCTTCAACCACGGCATAGGCTTCTTTCTCAACCGATGAATGATGTTTCTCACTTCGAGAGAGGCTTCGAGAAAAGAAGGCGACAGGTTTACCATTCTGGTTTAATGTAGCTGCAATTGAGACATCTGAAGCATCTGTTTCAACAACAAGGGGTGCTTTCGGATCAACTACCACAACGACTGCACGTTCTAAGTCGTCTTTCAGTTTGTCAAAAGCATTTCGAGTTTCGATATCAAGAGGGAAAATCCGATTATTTACCAATGGGTGGATTTTATCTGAGAAGCGAGGGATCCACTGTGAATAATAAGCAAATAATCCAACGGCCCGTTGTTGAGATTTGATATCTGTGGGTGGTTCTAGATCACGAAGAGGTTTTAGCCGATCGGGATCTGGTTTAATAACCCCCTTTGAAACTTCATAACCGAGTAATTGTATGCTTCTGCTTGAGATCACACTTTTGGAATCATTAAGGGTTATTCCATAATTGCGTGCTGCTACCATAAACTTGTTTAGATTTTTGTCGTGTTCCTCCTGAGTTTTGCCGCAGATAGTGACATTGTCAATGTAGGCAAACGTGCTTGTGAGTTGTTCTTTACTGATCAATTCATCGATAATGCGTTGAAAACAAGCTACGCCATTGGTAACACCAAAAGGAATTCGGCAAAATTGGTAAAGTTTCCCACAAGCCTCGAAAGCAGTATATGGTTTATCTTCGTTCCTTAGGGCAATTTGATGATAAGCATTCTTCAGATCAAGAGTGCTGAATATGTCATATTGTGCGATTTTTTCTATCATTTCGTCAATCCTAGGTAATGGGTAAGCATCCAGAAAAGTGAATCGATTGATTGTCTGACTATAATCAACTACCATCCTCTTTTTATGGCGTTCGTTTGACGTAACAAGAACTTGAGCTCGCCAAGGAGAATTAGAAGGTTCAATAACACCTTCTTGCAGTAACCGGTTGACTTCGGTGGAAATAAAACTTTCATCTTCACGAGAATAACGCCGGGATTTTATCGCGATCGGTTTACAGTCTTTTGAAAGATTTTCAAACAGAGTAGGCAGGTCGACGCGAACACAAGGTAGACCACAGAGAGAAAAAGGCGGCTTTGATCCCCCAAAAGGAATCTCAATGTGTTTGTGAAGTTTTAAAAAATCATGTCCAAGAAGGACGTCTGCACATAAATTATGAAGAATGGAAAATTTGAATAGATCATAAGTGTGGTTTTTATAGCAGATGGATAGAAAACAATGTCCTTCAGTATGACTAGTAAGATTCGTACTCGCCATTGTGATTCTGTTTCGAGACTTATGGACTTTCCAGTTATACTTACGAACAACTGAGGAAGAGATGTAGCTCTCACTGCTTCCGGTATCCACTAGAGCTTGCATTGATTTCCCATTGACAGTAAGCTGCGTAACAGCATCAGTGAGACTTTGAGGTGCTGAAGCCACAACGAGAGATGAAATTATAGAGTTAACTGAAGATGGACCTTTTTTCGTAGATGGCGCAGACCTGCAAACCTTCTGAAAATGTCCTTGCTTGCCACAAGCTTTGCAAACTGCATCACGGGCGGGGCATTTGGAACGAGGATGTCTACGATTACCACAGAAAAAGCATTTGGATTCAACGGCAGCAATGGTTGTTTCATTGACGGAGGGTGTGGAATCTGATGAATGAGGTACATCATGTAAAGAAATGGACGCGCAAGGTGTAACAGGATTGTTGTATGACTGCGATTGTTGATGTGCCATCTCTAGAGCTCGTGCTTGATCGTATGCCGCTTGAAAAGTTAAAGTACGCTGTTCTAATAGCCTCTGGCGTATCATCGAAGACTGTATACCTGAGATGAATGAATCACGTAGAGATTCGTTACGATGTTCTTCGGCTGTAACTGCCCTGAATGAACAATCTGTAGTCAGCGACTTGAGTCGACGAACAAACTGATCCAGATTTTCGCCAGATTCTTGTTTACACGTTGCTAACAAGTGTCGAGCAAACACTTCGTTGCAAGGCTGCATGTAGAGACTCTTGAGAGTGTCGATAGCTTCTTCGTATGTTTTGCATTCAGAAATGCATTCGTATACAGAAGTAGAAATATGATTGAAGAGAATATGTAGTTTCGAAGGATTTTCGGATCCCATTGATTCAATGAAGTAGGAGAAAGTCGCAAACCAGTGATCCCACTTCTTGGCAGCTCCAACTGCGTTAGGTTCTACGTCGAACCGATCAGGTCGGAAAAATCGTTCCATGAATATTGTAAAATGAATAAATTGTTACGAAGGTGATTGAGTCTTAGAACGATGAGTGATGCTTGAATCTTGAAAAGACGAATGAACCAAGAATTTAGGCTTTATTCATTTTACAATGAAGCCGGAATGGCTTAAACATATAAAGGAAAAAAAGAGTGTTAATAGCGGTAGAGATATGAATATGACTAGATACGTATTATAAGAAAAGTTGACAACATACACAATTCGGCAATTGATGGCCTTCGTTTAACCCATTTCCGTAGGTTGAGACGAAAGTGTGGCAAGTTTAGTTCGCTTTAGCTCATATATTCATTCAACTTCATCTTCCACCGGTATTCATATGCAAGTTGACATTCTTTCTAGATTACTTTTATATTAGAATAGTTTTATGTAGGAAGCGGTTTTGCACACACACACACACATTAAGTGCTGATGAACTTCTATAGAATTAACTGAACTAGTAGTGTGTTAGTTTGATCTCTCAAGCTAATTTCAATTATTGTGAGTCATATGGTAAAGATATTTAACGTTGTTCATTCAACTGTCAGAATGGATTTGACACCATGGACACTTGATGATGCAATATCATTACCCTGGAACTTATCTTCGCCCTCTACTAATTCCAAGTTAATTTCCTCGCCACCCCACCACCACAGTGTTATTTGTTTATATAACATTACTGATTTCATAAACTGATAACTATAAAATACGTGAGAACTATTTTAAATGAAAACAAGTGATTCAGCGAAGAAACTCTTAAACTAATTTATCATCAAGCTGTACAATCGTATATATATGCCACCTGATTTTTAACTATGATTATAATCACAAACATTTTAGTTTTAATTGCATTTCATACTACTATTATTATTTTATGCATTCACACCTATGATTCAATTCCCTCACCGAATGTAACTTCTTAAAAACCATATATATATATATATATATATATATATATATATATATATATGCGATTGTACAGCTTGATGATAAATTTCTTGAAAAGAGTCTCTTCGCTGAATCACTTGTTTTGATTTTCTATATGTTACAATGGGAATTCTCCATGAACTATTTTAAAGCACTTATCTTCTCATGCAATCGGATAGTTTAGATAAGTCAATGTAGAGAAAGTGTGCTCTAGTTTCTGCTTCAAAATCGGCCTGAATTTTGAATAAATAAGTGTTTAAAGAGTGTAGAATCCACTCATTAAACAAATGTGTTAATTCAGTAATAATGATTAGGCAAAAGTTCCTCTAAATATTTTTAAACAGAGTTATACCATTGATTACAAATTTGCTTCTTTTTTTCTTATCTAGGCATGTTTCCTTGGTTACGAAGTTGCTCTAAAGTTCTTGGACTATGCATTTCCAAATCTGTAAAATAACTCACTCACTCACTACTGCTCAGATTATTACTTCCAAACAGAGAATCGTTGTCATCGAACCGTTAGTTACTAGCTATCATCAATCGACTGCCTTTCCATTTCATACTTTGTATTATCTTTTCTTCCTGAAAATCTTGAAATACGTCATCATGGTTGTGATAGTCATTTATGATAATAATCGATTCAGTTTGTAAAGTTACTGACGTTGTTTTACAATACAATACACTTTATATGATCAGGCATACTTTTAGAGGTTTGGCTGTGTAGTGTATGGAAGGTGTGTTTTCATTCTGTCTTTCTAAAATCTTATGACGATTGTCGTTGTATTTGAAAAAAAATAAAATCAATACTGTTACTAGGAAGAGTATTCTGGATAAGAAATGTAACAACAGCTTATTTGTAGGCTGCACTGCAGACTTTTCGTTTTGACTTCAATAGGAAGGCATTTCTGGTTTTTTCCCTTCATTATTATTATTATTGTTCCCTTGAGTTCCTAGTGGAACATAGGGCTTCAACTGCACGTCTCCATTTGCTTCTGTCTTCTGCCGTACTTTTCACCTGCATCCATTTTAGTCCATACTCTTTCAACTCCTCTTCACACGATCTTCTCCATGTCACCCTTGAACGTCCCGCTCACCGCTTCCCTTTCAGGTTCCACTCGAGCAATGGCCTGACGCGCGCGCGATGTCACCCAACGGCCTCCTCAGCGAGTAGTGTCCAATCCATCTCCACTTCCTCCTGCATATTTGTTGGTTGGTGATTGGTTCTTGTTTTGTTTGTCTCTGATCCGTATAGAAGCACTGACTTTACATTGGAGTTGAAAATCCGGATCTTATTTTTGATGCTGAGTGCTGTTGACTTCCACACAGACTCAAGAGTAATGAGAGCTTACCTTGCTTTTCCGATTCTGGCTTTGATATCCTCGTCCGTTCCGCCTGTAGTTGAATCGATGCTTCCCAGGTCAGTAGGTGAAGGAGGTTGTTTCCTTCAGGTTCCTCCCATTTATGCTGGCTGATTGTTGTCTGTTGTTGTTGCTGGTGTTGGCCAGGAATCTTCATCACCTCTGTTTTATCTATGTTTACCTGAAGTGAAGTCTTATCTTCGATGCTTCTTCTGCCAGCTTGTTGCTTTTCACTTGCCTATCTTCCAGTTTGTGGGAAATCAGACATATATCACATCAGCGAAATCCAGATCCTCCAAGTTTTTTGTGTGTCCATTTTATGTATGTTTCCTCATTGCCCGTTGTCTGTCGCATTATCCAATCTACTGGAATCAGGAAAATCATTGGCAATAGTAGACAGCCTTGCCTCACTCCTGTCCTCACTTCGAAGGCTTCCATAAGTTTCCCGTTGTGAATTACTTGGCATGCAGCATTGTCGTATAACTGTTGGATGAGATGCACAATTGTCGATGGCATCCCGTAGTTTCGAAGTAGTTGCCAATTGACCTCTCCATCGACGCCGTCGAAGGCCTTTCCAAAGTCGATGAAGTTGAGATAGAGAGATGACTGCCATTCCAAGCTTCGTTCAATGATGATTCGTAGAGTGGCGATTTGATCAATACATTATTTGTTTCTCCTGAATCCGGCCTGTTCCGGTCGAAGTTTTTCATCAAGCGCTTGTTTGATTCTCTCCAGGATGATGCGGCTCAGTATTTTGCTTTGGATGGAGAGGAGCATAATTCCGCGCCAGTTTTTACATTGACTTAAGTCTCCTTTCTTTGGAAGTTTGAATAAGTATCCTTTCTTCCAATCCTCGGGTACTTTGCCCTCTTTCCACACCTTCTCCAGCAGTGGTGTTATCAAGTCCGCTGTTGTCTCTGGGTCCATTTTCAATGCTTCTGCTGGGATTCCATCTGGTCCTGCTGCTTTTCCAGCTTTTAGCATCTTGATTGCATTCAGGACTTCTGATTTCGTCGGAGGGTCGATGTTCACTGGTAGTTCTGCTTCCGTTGTTGGTATTGTTGGGCGCGTTGTAGGTGGCGGTCGATTTAGAAGTCTTTTGAAGTGTTCAGCCCAGTGTTTTCTTTGTTCCACCTCTTTGGTGATTGACTTTCCATTGTCATCCTTTTCTGACTTCGATCAAAGTATCATATACAATGTTTAATTTATCTTCAATTACTTCTGAGTATATAGCTCTCACTAACTCTGTGGCTGAGGGTCTTTACTAAATTTCTTTTGTACTTGAGAGGAACGGAGCTGTGAAAATGTGTATATTGTCCTGTCCAATTACTTTTTCTATGCAAATTTCTTTTTATGCTACCATCTGGTTTTCTTGTAAGTAGGACATCCAGGAAGGCGATTCTGATTTGGGATTCCTCTTCGCATGTGAAAATCATAGCCGAATGTACTTCATTGAATTCGGTAATTATCGTACTCTTATCTGAATCATTATCACAAAGAATTAAAATGTCATCCATATACTGGCAATAAAATGAGAACTTACTGATAAGGTTGTTCAAAAGTCCATTTTTCTAGCTTACTTAGAAAGAAATCAGCCAAAATTGGATCCAATGGGGAGCCCATCGCCCACTGTAGAGCCTGATGATGAAGTAATCGCAAACAGTATAGTCGATTTATTCAAAATCCCTTTGAGACGAGCCAATTGCCTGATACAGAGATTTTGTTGCATTTCGTGCATAATGATGCCTGTGGATTTTATTTCTAGTAGTAACTTTTCTATCTCAGCGTAAGTGGGTGCGTAGTGAGCAGATTAATGTGTCAGTTTTGCAAGCACAATGAAATATGATATAATCTTCAAGTATACACTAATGTTAGCCGATATGACTGTTTCCATTAGGGATTCAAATTATCCGACTGTGGGAAGTGCTGTTGACATAAAATAAGACAACACACACTAAGTAGCCATTCAGTTTTAGTAGGACAAACACGCTACATGTGGTTAAAGAGTGTAAGGTGAATATAAGAGAGTCATATTCGTGCTGTGAATAGGTGGTTATTTTCCTCTTGTAAAAGGCTACAAAAGAGAAGTAAAGGTGCTTATTACATATAAGAGGGGATATTGCACAATTCAGCTCTTATACTCGATGAGCTGTGTCAGCCTTCTTAGACTGCTCATCACCCATTTGCATTGTATTTGAATACTACCTGTTCATACTTACAAGACAGTAAGTTACTCAACCATCAATGTATGCCCGAGTGCCCAATCGATAATTCAGAAATAAAGCTGAAGTTTGTTGCGAGTAGTTGCACCTTTGCAAGGTTTAGAGTCTATACCGAAACGGTCGATACAATACGTTGAGGGTAGTGATACGTAATTTGGTTTCCAAAAGATAAAGATGACAGCAGAAGAGGTTCGAGCACAATGTGCACTAACCTTGAATAATCAAGAGAGCACAATCAAACCTAACAAAAGTCTGAACAGGATACAAACATTGTCATCACAAAGGCTGACAGGGGAGACTCGACGGCAGTTATGGACAAATCTGACTATATCAAGAAAGTCACTGAACACATTGCAACGGGTCAATATGAGGAAATTAAGAAGCCTGCAGATACAATAATGAATAAGATTAGGTAGTCTACAGTGAATTTAATACACAGAATGAAGCCATCACTGGGCGAGTCTAAATGGTTTAATGTAATGCCTAAAACAAAAAATGCTTGTAGATTATATGGTACTATTAAAATACACAAGCCAGGTTAGCCCATACGATCAAAAGTAAATTTCAGAAATATCCCTACTTATGAATTATCACAAAATACCTAGCTCTAATATTATGTCCCATTAGAAATCTTTCAAAACTTACGCCAGCTAATTCATATGAGATGAAAACTAAATTAAATGATAATTGGTGGATGGTGGCTAGCAGTGGAATCCAGGACGAAATGCGCATCCTGGATTCCACTGCTAGCCACCATCCACCAATTGTATACTAATTAAATACCCAGACATCGTCGAAGCATCTGCACAAGAAGCCGACATGTCAACCTGAGACCGAGCACTTCGGTCCAATCAATCGACGGGAAAATCAAAAATTCAATTCAATAAATTAAATGACATTCAAGTAGAGAGTGATGAAACAACGGTTAGTTTTGACATTATTAATCTTTATACTAATATACGTTAGAGGTTGACGGTATAGACGTTCACGAATTGTGCGGAGTATATTAACGCAAGATTCTTATACCAACAACTTCTCTAGTATTCGTTTCTCGTGTACTAAAGGCAAAGCAAAAGACCACAATTGATTGTCCAAACTACGAGATATATTTCGGAACCAAACCACGGACTGAAGCGGAAGCTAAGCTGGTTAGTAATCGTGCACGAAAGTGACACGACGAAGTACCAAATGGCGAGGATGCTTGACCGGAAGCCTTCAGCTAAACAAGTCGACTTAAACATTAAGATCCAGCATCCAATGTTCACTGATGTTTCCTATGGTCAATAATTTTGGGGAATTACTTACCGCTACAATACCAATCAATGTGGCCTTAGAAGCAGTTGAACGAGAACTTACGACTGATCCCGAACATAGTCATAGTGTGTTGGTGTGATGCAGACAGTGTGTTCGAACGGTTGTTATTCTCACAGTTCACTACAGCATTAGCAACCGAATACTATGTATACTTGAACACTCTGTTTCATGTCGTGTAATGTAAACCGAAATCATACGCTCAGTAATAGGTTAAAGAATATAAACTGTCTAGATATTAATAACGGCTTGATCAGTTGAAAATATACCTTGGCTTCCGAGTTTTGCCTTCTGTTGCTAAAATATGACAATGCTGCCCATTGAGAAAATTATCTCAATTATGCCTCATATCTACTATCTTTAAATTCTAGGGCAAATATAGACAAACAGAAAGTGTATCAACGGGATCATCAAATCCCCTGTCGTAGAAGATATCTTTATGGACAGTTGGGAAAATGTTGCTCTTAATACACTTAATCCTACTCCAAAAATATGATGGAGATACGTGGATGACACTTCCATAGTGTTAGAATTCTAAGAGGTAGGTGGAGAACGAGATTGATTACTGAATCCTTGTCCATCGAGTCTACACCCAACACGTGCAATAGGAATGACTCATACCGGATATATGGAAAATACTACTACCAATCAAGTCAAGAGATGAAAAATATCAACGAAGTTAGGAAGTTGTTTCAGTACCTGGATATGATTATGAGCAGTAATAAACTGTGCTCGAAGTGTGGTCATCAGTAAATATTATTGTATAGTGTTCTGCTGAATCTTGCTGCACTATTCATAACACCTATTCTTCTTACTCTTTAAGTTTTTGACTTCTTATAAAGTAATCTGTTAATTAGGATGAATGCACACATATATAATATGTTCATAAAGATGTACGTGGAAACCTATTGGAAGCACTCATTAAGAAAGCTAGGGAGATGGAATATGAGGTACGAACATGTCTGGTACCAAGCAATATATTTGCGCTAGCCATAATAATCGTAGTCTCAGAGAATAACATCAAAAAGGAGGGAGGG